CACACACACACACACACACACACACACACACACACACACACACACACACACACTTCCTGTGTATGGCTAAAGATAGGATCTCCTGCTTCTGCCACTGATTGCCTTGTCTCGTCAAGCCCGCACTGCGAACTCTCTCTGGAACCACAAACCAAAGTAAGTTAATTCTTCCGTAAGATACTTTTGGTCATGGTATTTCATCTCAGCAACAGAAAGGGAACTAGTACACACTAATGTATGCTCATGGTCTAACTACAGCATAGTGGTTTCCAGATTGACTGGAAAATGCCCTCAGGGCTGATCACTCACCTCGCTGAGTGGAAACCAGAGGAAACCAGCCTGCTCTAGGCAGCAGGTACAAACTTCTCCTCTGAGCTGACAGGAAGCCGTGTCCCCGTACCAGCAATGTTCCCTCATAAAGCACAAAGAGGAATTCACTGCACACATTCCTTACACCTTATAAATCTATCACTAGGTACCGCTGGGGAGGTGGGAGGAGGGAACAGCGAAGTTCTCCTTGGAGGACAAGATTTCCCAATGTTTTTGTTTCCATGCAAGAATTTCTAGAATTCGTTGTCCTCTCTTTCCAAAGGAATGACCTAATATTTATATAGGCATGCGTGCATGCACGTGTGTGCATGTGTGTGTGTGTGTGTGTGTGTGTGTTTGTGTGCAGAGCAGGGGTGGGAAGTTGCATGCATTTAGGTACATGTATAATGAGATATTCCTATATAAATATTTGTACATTTCTATTTCTGTATGGTGTCCTCCTTTGTGGAAATGTAATATAGTTAGAACTTTGCTCAGGTTAGGTAGGGGCCTCATCCTTGGCCCGTATGGAGGTACAATTTCACCTGGTTCATTCCACACTCACTGAAATAGTCAGTCTCTGGAAGAAGTACTGTCCTCAAGATGCCTAATGGTCCTGTACTCCACGTCTCTTGCTCCTCTCCTGGGGAACCCAGGACAGCTGCAACCACTCAGATTTACAAGCGTTCCCTGGCCTCTTCAAACTGATTTGATGATCTATCCATCTTAAAATGGGCCACTCTAGCAAATCAGTTGGACACTGCATTTAATTTGTTGTTGGCAAGGGTCAAGCAAATATAAATGTTTTCCTTCCAAATATATCAACCACACTGTAACAAAACGTGTTGTGCCACATGCTTTTGGCTGAAGGATTTGGCAAGGCAGACATGAAAAAAATACAGTTGTCTGAGGTTTCAGCTGTGAGTTTTGTCTATGTTTTTACCCATTTCCCTTTTCCAGGACATTTTCTTCTTTTTTAAAGCCGGATATTGAACTCCGTGAGGCTTTGGACATGTTCGATGTTATAATGAGTCTTATTTTTTTATTCGATGGGATTTATAATCACCATGGAAACAAACCTCCGGGGATGTCTGTGACAGAGTTTCTGGGCTGGGTAAATTGAGGTAGAGAGACCCCCCCCACACACACACACGTGCAGAGTGCAGTATTTTATGAACTGAGGTCCTGGCTGAATAAACAGCGAGAGTGAGCAAGCACAGGGTCTGTCACTCTGTCTCCTGACGGCGGATGCCCTGTGCCTTTGGTTCCTGCTGCTGTGGAACTGATGGACCAAATCTATTCAAGCCAGAGGAGGAAATAACCCATTCCTCCTTGAAGTTGCTGTTTTTGCTGCCGTATTGTTTGTTTGTTTTGTTCCGGCAATGTGAAAAGTGACTAGTGCCTTAGGTAAGCACTCTAAGCCATTTTCTGTTGAACTTTTATTTCGTGGTCTGAAGGAAAGTAGGTGGAAATACAGGACATAGCAGGAAGCCACTGCCCATCAGTGTGATGAAGCAGAAACAAAGACAATAGCTACCCATGCTGGGGAAAGGAGCCAGAAGCCAAAGTGTGGGGCTGAGACATGAGATAGCATAGAGTTCCGAGGACAGTGTAAGCATTTTGACGTTTAGCCAAAGGTGAAAGAGGCCTCTAAGCATGAAAATCCCTTATACAATGCTGTGGAGTTTCAGCTTATTCTGGAAAGGGACCATAGTTTAATACGCTAAGCAGGAGTGTGTGGTGTGCTGGCTTGGATCTATATACCTCATTCTGTTCTTTTTCGTTCTGGTACTTGGTTGAACCATATGAATCTGCTATTTTGTGAGTTGAGAAGGCCAGATAATGATAATATTATTGGGAATAAATTAACTTAAAATTAATGTTACATATTTCTATTGCACCAATCTTGCGATATAGCTTAGGCTGGCTTTGAACCCACGATCCTCCTTCCCTAGCCTGCAAGTGTTAAGATTACAAGCATGTGACATTATGTACACCTTGACACTATGTTTTCAATTTGAGTATATTTTTTAAATGTCTATCATTATGGTTAGACAAGAGATACTGGAGCCAGATAACTTGCTAACACCTCGGCTCTAATAGCTATGTTTCTATGTATGCCCAAGCGATTTGACCTCGTAGCCTTTCAGAGAGTTAAGTGAGTTGATATAGACCAATGTTTGGAAAGGTGTCTCTCATCTAGTTCTTATTACTGAATATTGTTATCAGTCACTATGTTGTCACTTCCATCACCACCATTGCCATCAACAGTATGACAGTCCAGATGCCTGTTGAGGGTCAAGAACAAGACATTAGACCGGCAATAGAGTTAGAAATGGAAGAAATAGTCTCAACTAATTTCACAGTCTATGCACACACACTTTGTGTATGTTCATATCTATACATGCTTCCACATAGATCTCTATATATCAATATAAACCTATATACATAGACATACATGTGCCTCTGTGTGTGTGTGTGTGTGTGTGTGTGCGTGCGTGCACGTGCGCACGAGATGGTTAATATTATCATCCGGACAGGATCTAGAATCACTCTAGAGACAAATCTCTGGGCACGTCTGTGAGGGAGATTCTACATT